CTAGCTGGGTGGGTGCTATGATGTTACTGATAGTGAACTTTATGTTATTCATAAGGTTAGTTAGTAGAGTTGCCAACCGTCCCGTAAAAAGATGGAATCATCCCGCATTCAGAGAAAATATTACGTGTTTCATATTGAGCTGAAAAGGAGCAGTTTGTCCCATACTTCAGGTAGGATGGAAAAAGACACAAAGCTGGAGTTATTCTGTCTTTACGCTGTCAGCTGCCTCTTCTTTGCTCATTCTTTCCCCTCCCTCTGCTGTTTCTACTTCAATGAACATGATCATGAAACTGATCAATGATCAGCTGATCAGCTTTTCTCTCTTGTTTGTTTATCGCCCACTTTGCACCAGAAAGAGGAAACCACAAACAACAGCTGCACATTTAAGCTTGATCAGCTGTTGTTAGAATTTATTTAATATTAATTTCAAGTATCAGCTGATGTTTGCTGGAGCCACAGCTGTTAAGCTGCTGGTCATGATATCGGTTTGGATAGGTGGTGAGAGGGAAACATGAAACCAGGAGATGTCCTTACTGAATCATAAGAGCTGAACAGGTGATGGACAAACTGGTTTACCTTTTAGGTGACATGAATGAGTTGAAGGGACGTTAAGAACTGTTTCTGAGAGACAAACAACACCAGGTTCCTTTTTTATGCTGACTGTACAGTTTTTACTAAGCTAACTACCTTTAAGATAGTAAACTCCCACCGTAAGGGTGTGTTTTAACTGATGAAACTGTGTCGTACTCAGGCTGATTGCTGCCTTTTATAAGCTTTACTGCACAAGCATAAGCTAACACCAGTACAGAAGCCAGGTAATCAACTGAAAGACACAAAATAAAACATTAACAAAGCAACACTATTAATGACAGTACAGTTTGGTAATAGTCATATTTGTATCTTTAACACGTTATTTAGTTAACACAGAAACTCACCAGCTCGGCTTCATCAGTCATAACAGCAATATCAACGAACAGAAGATCCGGCAGGTAGGATCTATGAGCGGCTGTTAACACGTACCATCCCATACTTACATAAATCACTCTGTCTTAAATAAATTTATCATTTAAAGCAAATATGGGTCTGGCTGACAATAAATCACAACAAAATAAATTGATATGTTAGAAATATGGGGAAAAAATCCACACTGACAGCTGGTAACTGTGCAGGGGTGGGTCTAGCAAAGTTTTGCCAGGGGGCCAGGTAGGGCATTAACTTGGAAAAGGGGGCACAAAGATATACGTTCTTATTCTCATTTAAAATGTCTAGCTTTTATTAAATAATTATCTGAAGCTTACAACCAAAGTTTTAATCTGACGTAAAATGTATAGGAATCATATATATACCAACAAAACAAGTGAACATCACTGTCACAACAGCCTCTGTTTTCATTCAAAGGCTTTATGGCTTTTCCTATAATACCAGGGGGGGGGGCGATCTCTAGTCAAAATACCCGGGCCGATTTTTTGTCCCAGTCCAGCCCTGGCAACGCTCTCTTGCACCTCCAATCCCTCTGGCATCTGGGAGTAGGGACTGGGCTCGAACAGGACATCCTGACCTGCTGGGAGTGGGCCTGCTCTCACACTACACTTGACAACTCTTGTCTGACCAGGTGGGATGCTCATTAATTCACTCCCAGTTTTCACTCTGCCCTCACCTCATCGTCTCCACTCTTCATCACCTTTATAAAGACCTCAGCTTTCTTACAGTCAATGGAGAATGCTGTGCTAACAGCTTCTGTTACAGCACGAGGTGACTCTATTCCCCTCTCTAGCATGTGTTCAATCACATTGAAGCCAATTATTGCCTCCTCCGCCACCCCATCTTCCTGAGCTGGCATGAGAAGCTCTAACTGCGCAGCCTCTTCTGTGGGCAACCTGAATTTGATTTCAACCCACCCGGAAAATGGGATTGGTGTCTGATTTACTGCCCTCCCATCTAATATACCAGGCCCAATGATTTCAGTTAAACTCCTAACTTTGAGGTGTGGGATGTTCTGTTGTCTCCATTTTTCATTTATGAGACAGACCTGTGATCCTGTGTCCCACAATGCTGTGCTTTTTACTCCCTCAAGCAGGCAGGTGATCATGTGCTTCCTCCCAATAAGATTGAGGAGCTGGGCTCTTTGTCTTGGGGAGAGGAGGCTGATAGAGACCGCTTCATTCCTCTTATCTTGTGTGACAGCTGCTACTTTTGTCTCCAAATGTTTGATACTGTCTGTCAAGAGTTTGTGAACATCTTGTTGTTGCTCACCTTGGTTTAGTAGCTGAAAAGTAGCGTGGGTTCACCGTGCTAGCTGACATACCAATTTGCTCTTCCCTGTCTGGAAGTTTTCTCCGGGTGCAGCATCCCCTTGACAAATGCCCACTTTGTCCACATTTGAAGCAGTGGCCGCAGTTTTCTCCTCTATTGCTGTCCTGACAATCCCTGCAGCCACGTTTGAGACTTGGGCGGTGTGAGGGAGAAGGTCGGTGCGACTCACAAATAACTCCTTTTATTTCATCTATTTCCCCTTTTAGTTGATTGATGATTTCAAACAGCTCAGTTTCCTTCCGAGTCACTGTTGCTGGTGCTTTAGCAGCTTTACCTTTTGTCGAGGTGGAGAATGGCTGGTCTTGCCCACCCACTGCACCAACTGCTGCCTCCTGCACTGACTGTGCCTCTGCTTTTATCTCTCTTACTTTCATTTCTCGGGTGGTCTTTCTGAATTTTTGTTGCCTCTCCCACTCAAGGCTGGCCCGCTTCATTTGTCTTTGCAATCAGCACATCGTCAGTGACTGCTGGATCATCCAGGTGGGGATTGATCTGGTATTTCACATTGTCACTGATCAGACCTGTGCCAACGGCTCGCAGAAACTTTTTCTGAATCAGTTCGACACTGTATTGTTCATCTGTCCCTGGCTCCCTTGATGATGTTAGGAGTCTTTCTTTCAGCTCTGTTGCCCTAAATAGAAAGTTCTGTGGGGACTCATTACTTCCTTGAGTGATATTTAGCAGCCGATGATAGAGGTCAGTAGAGCTATCCTCCTTGTAGTGTCCCCTCAGCGTGGTACAAAGTTGCATGGGGGTGAGGTCTGTTTTAATCTCCAACATATCACGGAGATTTAGGCCTGGGCTTATGGCTCCTGTTTTGTCCAGTGTCTTTCTTGTCCTCACACAGGTCATTTTGTTTCAATCCCTGGCTGCTCTAGTTTGCATGTTAAATATACTAACCCCACGTTGCTTACCAATGCATCCATTGGAGTGTGGGAGTATTATACCTTATAACATTTAAATAGAAAGTCAAATAGAAATATTAATAACAATAAGCATAGAAGAAAAAAAATCTTGCACAGATGGGTGAATGCTGTACAAAGGGTTTGAGTGCTCAGGTAGAATAGAAAATTACTATATAAGAACCAATCAATTTTCCATGATGTTTTTCTTAAGTTATGCAGCTCTTATTTTTTTCCTGTCATTTGGCAACCCCATTTCTGCTTTTGATTTTGGAAATAAAAACCACTAATCTCATTATGCAATTTGATTAAGATAATATGTGTTTTTGAAAATGTATGGTTTCAATATCTAAAGTTTAAGAGTCAAATTCTGGTTAAAAAGAATAATTTAAAAAAATCAATTTGTCTATTGTAACAGATCGTGGACCCATGTACACATGCCCAGGCCATATTAGAAAGGACAGAACCCCGGATATAAGACCCCGCATTCATGACCTGTGATGAGCCAGCGTATTAGAGTACTGTTGCCGCGCTGTCCCACTGTGCAAAACGAACACTCCTGTTTACTACAAATCGTCTGTTGACCTGGAATTGAAAGCATATCCTGCTCTGAAAAGTGAGGACGATAACTGTGGTTCAAAGCTGGTAGGAAGGGGTAGCACGCTGTACGACCAGTCCCTTAAAATGGTCCAGTAAACAGCCACTACTAACAATTTAGCATTTGTAAATAAGAAACGATCCTTCCTCCAGCTGGATGAGCTGAAGGGAGACGCTCTGCAGTCGTACCAAGAACAACCTCCGAGTTTTTTTTTTGCTGTTGGTTTATTGTTTTCTTTCTCTCTTTTTTAAAGTGCTCTGCTTTTGCAGGAAGACTTTAGCGTTGTGAGAACAAGACTGGAGCTATTTTTGATTCGACTTCGAGGCGGCAGCTTAAGTTTGTGGCGCTGCTAAGAGCACGTTCGAGTTTTGATGCTAGTGTAAACCCATTTATCTGTCTGGACCATCAAAGCGCTGAAGTGTGACAGAGTGACTGTTTGGATTCCAGGAGAGCGATGAGAAGAGCGTTCGGATACTCAGGCTCGCTGAAGATAGCGCTTCAGTTTTAGGCTCCCCTTCGTCTCTCTTTTTTTTTTGTTAAATCCGTGTGGGCTATTGCAGATCCGTTTGGTTGGCGATCTGGACACATTCAGTACCAGATTTACTCCTCACCCCCTTCAACGATTAAACAAGCCGGGAGCAGACCCTCGCTGTCCCACAGTAACGGATTCCTTTTTGGACTGAGGCAGTTGAATGGATTTTCCGGTACACTGCTAAAATTGGTTAAAACGAACTGTTCGAGATTCAAATAATTTTTCGGTACCAGCTTACTCGCAAATGCTCCACTTTGATCGTTGATAAAGGAATATATCTGTTTGGCGATATTCAAAGGCAAAGTGCTCTTGATTTTGTTTCCTGATTATTTATTGTGATATTTGAATACGCTGGTGGAGAAAATGAACATGTATCTCGTGTGCCTTTTCCTTACTTTGGATATAGCCACCGTGGCTTTCAGTCTGTCTACGTGCAGTACGCTGGACATGGATCAATTCAAGAAAAAACGCATCGAAGCCATCCGAGGGCAGATCCTGAGTAAGCTGAAACTCGCAGCCCCCCCAGAGGACTTCCCCGAACCCGAGGAGGTGTCCCGGGACATCGTCTCTATCTATAACAGCACCCGGGACTTACTGCAAGAAAAAGCGAACGAACGGGCGGCGACTTGCGAACGGCAGCGGAGCGAGGAGGAGTACTACGCCAAAGAGGTGCATAAGATGGACATGCAGCGCTTCTACCCGTCAGAGAGTAAGTCTGTGTGCCCGCACTGATGTCATTTCAGGCCAAAAGGCACAACTTCGAATACCGCTGCTACGCGTGTTTGTGATTCTTTTGGAAAATCCTCTCCATCACGCTGTGCTGGGAGAGTGTAAGGAAAACCAGGTAGTGCTAATATTAAAAATAAGCTACACTTTTTATATATCGGTCGCTTCTACTCTTCACGAGGCTGTGTGTTGCCTTGTAACTTTACCATTACACACTTGGTCTCTCACTCGAACGACAGCGTCAAGTGTGAGCTTTATTGTTTGCCCGAGTAACGTGATACCAAGTCAGCTGGCCACAATACATTTGTGAGCTTTAACTTGTGGCACAAAAACAAGCAAATTACTGGACTTCTTGTTCGCTTCATCATGTCGCTAATTGAACTTGATATGTTTTGCTTCCTGATGTACATATTGCACATGCAAGTTTATTTTCCTTCCTCCTTCCTTTATCTTAGGGCTAAAACTGTAATTTGAGACAAATAATTAACTAAATATATGACCAGATTCTCTCAGGATTTCATGATAGATTAGTGATAATTGATTAGTCTGTTAACTTATTAATTTGGCATTTACCATCTAGGTGGAATGTTACCCGCATTACTCTGACCACTACAGTTTATATTCAGTCACACACACGAATGATTTAGTCAAGTAGGGTAACAAAAACATACTTTGTATGTTAAACTTATTATTGAAAGGATTATCAAGGTAACAACTTCCCAGGAGATTTTCCCATAAATATAAATTGTCAGCGCTAATGACTAGTTGAAAAAAAAAAACATTTATGCGTTCAAGTTTAATTGTACAAATGGAGTAACACAGTAGTGCTGTGGATAGCACTGTCACCTTCAGTGGTGGGATTGTTAAAACCCTTTTATGTAAGAAACAGCATCTGCTACTGTCCCCACTTGCTGGACACGAATGGCCCAAAAATTTTGTTGTGCTTGCTGCTGCGTTCTACCTGTACATAATTTCTTTACACTCATTTTATGTGTACTAGACGCACCTGTTCTGTCAATTCAAAACATGCATCACTTATCCATAAAGAAGAAAGCTTTGGCACTATCCCTACTAGTGAAGAGGTGTGTTGTTTCCACAACATTGCTTTCCTCACAAGTCTAGTGGCATTCAGTCAGTGGTAGGGATGGGTATTGATAAGATTTTAACGATTCCGATTT